AAAACTTTTGAGTATCACTGATTCAATAAAAAATATTAATGTTTGAATGATTTGCAGAAAATGACAGTTTACAGAAAATGATTCAATTGAATTGATATATATACCTTAGGAAGTATAGATAGTAGACCGATAGTAGAATTCTGTATAAAATCTTGGTTTTGTAATGTACAAGCTCTTTATAATGGTTTTGGCTATTTTTTTATATATATATATACAGGTATTCCTTGTTTAGCGACTACAATTGGGACTGGCAATTTGGTTCCTAACAAAGCAGTCACTAAGTGAAATGACAACTATGCTTAAGAACTTCACCTTTCTTTTGCTTTACAAACCTGCTAAGTTTGTAAATGCGAAGAATGGTTGTAAAGTAACTTTTTCATCACTCTCATAAATTCAAATGGTTGCTAAATGAGGACTATCTGTACATCTGTCTACCTTCCCTACTACCTGCCTGCCTATCATTGTAAATTATTCAATTCCCCTTTGGAATTGAATGGCGTATAATTTGCATAAATAAATAGGTTAGTGGATGATTTCCCCCACCAATTTCTTCAAATTAGAAAAAAAACACTTTTTCAAGTATAACTTTTGCCTGTTTATTTGGGTATTAACCCCCGGTCGTTGTTATGTATACTAATTTTGCTTGTAACTTCTCCAGTGCCACTTATAAGGAATACAATTTAGATTCTGCAATAGGAGTGGAATATTTTTAGATTCAAAAGTATTTTGTGCTTTGAAAATAGAATTGTTCATCTTTGAGATATTGTCAGTTCCACTGTGTTCTTATCCAGTAATTAGAATAATAAAAAAAGGAAAGGTAAGAATTTGGCTAGATTAACTCAGAAGTCTATCTGCTTCCATAGGGAGTTGGTAGATTAGAGATGTAAAGTTTTAAAAAGATAAACGTCTTTATGAAAGTCAGAAGCAGATCTATTTCAGCAATATATATTATTTGTTAGATGTGTATTTGTCCTCCCCAGCAGATTTTCAAGATGATTGGGTAACACTCTCTCTAATGTTTTTATATAATGGCACATTTTGTAGTTTCAAAGCATGCCTGTTCAAAAGTGAACCCATTTAATTCCATAGGATTGGATTCCAATGGGATTGCAAGCAATTTGCGTGCATGACTGTTACCATTTAAACTATCTGGCAATCCCTGCAGTGTTTCGGTATTTAAAACTTGTTTTTTTTTTTTTAATTTGAATCTACCAAAGATTGTTATGCTATTATCCCACCATTGGAGCAGTTTATGGAAATCCCCAGCGCAGAGAGGCGAGAGCTCTTTTTCCGGGATATTGAACGTGGCGACATAGTAATTGGAAGGATTAGTTCTATTCGCGAATTTGGCTTCTTCATGGTGCTGTTCTGCCTGCGAAGCGGCGTTGTGCGAGAGATAGCAGATTTAGAAATCACGGTAAGTCAAGAGATGTTGTGTTCTAACCCATCTCCCCAAACACGAGAAACCCTCTGAAGGGAACTCAAAGATTCCTTCATTAGGAGCACCAGCAGCCTTGGCTAAAAGTTTCTCTCTCACCGCAGGCTAACAAGAGCGTTCGGACGAGAGATGAATAGTTGTCTGCCACATCTATTCATCTCTGCCCCCTGCCTTTTATCCCCAGAGCTAGGTTAGGGCTTCACTAGCAGCGGTGGCTCTTCCATCCCAAGGACCGGCCCATGGATTTCCACTGCTCTCCTCTCCTCTGTCTTCTGCGCATCCACATGTCAGGCACTGGACCCAGCTGTTCTTTCTCTTCCTAATCTGCTGCCTCTGTTGACTCTCGATCTGAGGGCTGACAGACGGCCCAGGTCCACCTCTGTCTCTCTCTCTCTGCCAGGTCTATTCCCTCTTCCCCCTCGGAGCTCTCAGGTTGCCTTTATGCTGACCCTGACTCCCACACCACCTTCTCCTCTGATTCAACTGTTGGAGGGTCCAGCGGCCGACAGGCCACAACACATTAATATGAAAGGAGATGTCGGTTTCTGAAGGGTTTCTCTTTTGGCCTCTCATGCAGCTGAATTGGCTGAGTTGATCCAAGGAAATTAAGGAAGCTCTTGATTCAGAATCAGCTTTATCAGCAAAAATGACCTTTCTTATACTCAAGGATTACATTACAGTTGCGAAAGTCCTGAATCCAACTGTGAACTTTTGTTGCATTTCTGATCAAGTGGGACTCAGGCAGTAATCCATATGGGACGCAACCAGGGCATGAGTAACTGAGAATAGGAGCTTCCTGATCAGGAAAGGGTGCAATTATTGAACTCAAAATTGCACAAAATATACATTAGACTTAATATAAAACATACAACTAGACCCAAAGATAGACCCCCCCGCCCCTCTGCTAAATAGCTAACTTTCATACCACTATCTTATGCCTAAATATAATATAATTAATATAATATAATAATATAATATAATATAACCCATGAAGTAGGGTTGTATTGTTATTATCCTTCTCATCTTCTATTGGTATCTTATGATTTATCACTTGTTGTTTGTATCTTATGATTTATGATTGTATCATACAATATATGATCTATGTTATCATTTTGTTTGTACACTGAGAGTTCATGCACAAATTCCTTGCATATCCAATCACACATGGCCAATAAAGAATATATTCCTATACATTAGACTTGGTAAGAATAAATCAGCTGTACTGCCTGTTGATTTAGTCCTTATCAGACTGGATTTGCATTAACATTGCTGCCTGCCCTATGTAGAATAGTATAGGAGTTTTATATGGAACTAGCTGGATACCCATGCTTCGCGACAAAACTATGTGATCGGGATATGTAGGAGAAATTTGGTTCACAACCAGTTGGCTCTGGTGATCAGTGATTGAAACACATGAGGGAATATTGCTCCTACCTTGAGTCCAGAAGCAGTTCCATAGGTGGAAGGCGTAGACATTTTGGTGAGATACCGAAGTTTAATACTGTAAGGAGCCCCAGGCCGTTCTTGAGTGAAGGAGTGGAACTTCTGCCAGTTTGAACTGAGGTAACGGAATGTGAGGGAACTGGCAGTTGGAACAGAGTTCTTTTCAGGCGGGGAGGGGGAGTAGAACTCTGTAGCATCAGAGCGTGTTAATTACTGTATAAGAAATACTAATGGTCATTCCCGAAAATCCTTTCTTAGTGAGCACCTAGAAGTCAAGAGGAACATACCTGCCAAATTTCAAGTTTGTAGGCTTTACGGTTCTGGAGATTTCATGATGAGTGAGTGGTACTTGGCTTTTATATAGAGAGATTTAAATGGTGATTATTATACAGGATAGGAATGACATTCTCCCAAGTTATCCACTCAAACTTTGGAATTAAAAATCCAGCTTTTAAAACTATAGAAGGTAAATTACCCTTGTATAGATGTCCTGCAAATCTTCAGTTATTTCTTTGTGAAATGGGACTGAATACGTCTACCCCTAATTTTTTGGAATTACATGTTTTCTATTTTAGGCGCTTTGTCCATTAAGAGATGTGCCTTCGCAAAGCAGCCATGGGGATCCCTTATCATATTATCAAAATGGTGACCTTATCCAAGGCAAGTGTATATCATTGCTCTTAGATTGAGCCCTAAGTATATTTTGCGTTGTTTTCTGCTGTTTTAAGTCTGATCTTTTTTTTTCTCCTGTTTTTAATAGCTGCAATCAAGGATATTGATCGCTACCATGAAAAGCTCAGTGTATCGCTGCACAAGTCTGCTTTATCTCCCAGTTTAGCAAATACCAAATTAGGAGTCATCAGCTCTGAAGATTTGCCTGTGCATTACAGGTAGGAATATAGGTATACACAATGACTCAATGGCTAAGACCCTGAGCTTGTCGATCAGAACTGTCGGCAGTTCAACAGTTCGAATCCCTAGCGTTGCATAACGTAGTGAGCTCCCGTTACTTGTCCCAACTTCTGCCAACCTAGCAGTTCGAAAGCATGTAAAAATGCAAGTAGAAAAATAGGGACCACCTTTGGTGGGAAGGTAACAGCATTCTGTATGCCTTCGGTGTTTAGTCATGCCGGCCACATGACCACGGAGACGTCTTCGGACAGCGTTGGCTCTTCAGTTTAGAAACGGAGATGACCACCGCTCCCTAGAATCGGGAACAACTATCACATAGTGCGAGGGGAACTTTTACCTTTATATTTGTTTGTATGATTTAAAGAAACCCTTCCACTTCCTTCACCTATGACCACAATTGAATCCCAAATTTCTGTTGCCGTCATAAACATGAACCAATCGCCAAGCATCCGAATTTTGGTCACATCACCATGGAGATGCTGCTATAGTCATAAGTGTGAAAAATGGTCATAAGTCCCTTTTTCAGTGCCATTGTAAGTTTGAACAGTCACAAAAATGAACTTAAAACTTTATAGTTGAAAATAGAAAATACAGTACTTTAATTGACAATATGAGATGCAATTTCTCTCTCTCCCTCTGTGTGTGTCTCTCTCTCCCTCCCTCTCCCCCCCCCCAATATGGGATTATCTGAGAAGTTGATAATGATTATTTTGTAGTACTATTAAAGAAGTATTTGTGTTTTTGTCATGGTTCCGAGTAATGCTCCCAATTAGTTTAAGACTCTGAGGCTGTTGCTTTTTCAAAGATCTTGTTATTGGGTACATCGTATCAGCACGTTCAAAAGTCAAGGCAACTCTGATTCTTCTTTCTCTTTTAGTTCTTTCGTGAGCCTATCCATCTCTGCACATTCCAATATTTTTTTTATTACGTTTTCTTCTGTTGGTGTATAATTATTTTTCCAGTTTTGAGCGAGTGTGTAATTCTTGCTGCCGTGATTATATGTAGAATTAAGTATCTAATATTTTTTTCATAATTTCCTTTTATAATTCCTAACAAAAATAAATCAGATTTTAGTGCAATTTGATGTTTACTAATCTCCTCTAGCCCATCTTTCATTTTCCCCCAATACTTTTTCGCAGATGTGCACGTCCACCACATATGGTAGTAGGTTCCATGTTGTTGGTTGCATTTCAAACAGATAGGTGAACACTCCGGGAACATTTTCGCAATTCTCGCTGGTGGAAGGTGCCATCGCTAGAACATCTTGTACATGTTTTCTCTATATGTCGTTGCCATCGTTAATTTGTAATATTTTCCCCAATATTTTTCCCATTCCGCCAATTCTATACTATACCCAAAATTTATCGCCCATTTTATCATCGTTTCTTTCACATTTTCTTCTTCC